TGCACAGACGTGCTCTTGTGTCTTGCGTATACTACAAACCAAGCAAAAAACGTGGGCAGTTGGACAGTCGCGCAGATGCAACGTGTGGTTGACGATATGCATCATCGTATCATTCTACGCTCACGAGAGTGGGGCTACACGGCATGCTCTCTCCCCTCCGCGCTGCGTGCACGCCATCGAGGCAGCTGGTCAACGTGCTCGACTTACAATTGAAGACATGTGCAACTCAGCATCTTTCTGGCGGTGTGGCTATCTAAATCGCATATCAAGATACCAGCTGACGTCGGCCAACAAGTGACCGTGATCCGCATATTGCGCATCCAGTCGCATGCAGCGTCCCTCCCTACCTAGGCGGCATGTGAGGCAGGAGGCCCTGGTAGAGGAGCACATGACGTATGAGACCCTCTGCTGTTTTTACAGGCGGCATTCAGACCGTTGAGTGCAGCCTCCTGGCACGACACAGGCGAATTGACTTGAACGGTGACGGAAATGGGCCTCTTTTCGCTTGATCAAGTTGTGAAGTCCTCTCAGCTATTCGTTAAGGATGGTGAATCGAAACAGCACAGGGTGCGGAGTGTGAGTTCGTGTCGATGTTGCTAGTGAGGGAGGCAAAAGGCGGAGTTGCTGTACGTACATGAGCCTAAACGGTCATCGCTCCGTGCTCCTCAAATGGAGGAGTACACCAGGCCCTTCAATTTGTGAGCCTTGCGTGTTTGGAATGTAGCTGGCATAGTTCGTCAGCAGAAAGATACCTCGCTCTATCAGGGGCGGAGAAACACGGGCTTGACCACGGGGACTAGAGGTGCTTGGGTGCAGCTGCCAAGCTTCGGTGACGCCGCCGATAGCAAGGGGCCATAGGGCTGAAGACGCATCGCTGGACGACGTTGATAGGCTCGAGTATTCGTAGAGGCACGTACGTAATGTTGTGCAACCCCAAGTTCGCTAGTCCGGGTATCAGGACATGATGCTTTCTGCGGCTGCAGGTCTCAGCTGCAGGGTGCAAAGAAGCTCTCCATTGAGAGGAACGGTGCACTTGCGAGGCCAAGAAGTGAGGTACTTGGACAGTGAGTATCGTTTCTCATCCCGTGGTCCTTCATTCTACCTTTACCAGCCTACATACTCATCCTGGTAGCAAGGATACCGCACGCGCCTTGCAAAGAGCTTCGGGTTGCTCGGGGTGCTCGTATACAAGAGCTTATCTCGGCGGTTCGAACGTGTGCTTGCCGGTGAATTCGCGTGCCACGCCCTTCCGTTGTCATCAGACGCCGGCCGCGATGGAGTCCGAGCCTGATCGGATTTAACGGGGCTGGCTGCGAACCACACTGATCCGAGTTTCCTGACGAAGCAAGCCGCAATATTCGAGCTGTCGATGTACGCTGTGCGGGAGCCTCCGGGCTATCGTACCCGAGCCGACTTGGCCTGGCCGGCTCAGCTTTCGCGCATCCGAGTTACGTGGTCGGTAGCGGTAGTGTTCACTCCTGTGAACCGGCCGATCGTAGCGGTGAGAGGCATTTGACGATACGTTGGACATTGCCTCCTGAGGTTTGCCGTACTTGTTCATTCTCGGTCCAGTCCGTGGTGCGCAAAATGCCGGGCCTACTCGAGCGATGGCTGAAAGCCTAGCATTCAGCCTGGCCATGTACGTATCAAAGATGCGACGCACGAACTGTGAGTGGCTACATATTTGGTAGGAAATGCTCTCGAAAAGATCCGGAGGAGCCACAATGGCCCCCGATCGAAAAACATCGGCCGCTAGTGCGGGTCGCGCAGGGTCGCCTCTCCAGTGCGAGACCATGATGTCAATTGTAATGTGGTGCAGTGAAGTGTGGGCACAAAAGAAGAGACGGAGACATGGACGCGGGGAGGCGTAGAGGAGGACGAGCCCTCCAATCAACGTCGAGTCCGCCAGTTGAGATGAGTTTTGGCTGTGGACTTGAACGCTTTGGTGGCAGAAAGAGCGGGAGCAAGGGGCGAGTGTGTGCGGGCTACTTAGTAGGGTGGTGTGCGGTGCAGGTGGCCAAGGCAGTTAGGCATCTAGGTACCTTAGGTATCCGTAGGGAACGGAAGTACACTAGACGGGAGGCATGTATCCTCGCCGCTCTTCAATCCTTCCACTTGCATCTGCACCTGCAACCTGCAACCTGCTGTACTACTGTGCGCCGACACCACCAGCGCGTGCCAAAGTACGCATCCACACGAAAGGATCATCACCAGGCCCGGGCAGCCAGTGTCTTGTGTAACCATGGGGTAGTTAGACAGCCTGCCCTCCTCCTCCAAGGTGCGGAACGACGGCTTCGCAGCGTTGGGACCACGGGCTTTGGGATGGTTGAGAAGGGACCTTGTGTAACATCGAATCTCAGCCAAGGACCCGCGTAGGGCTGCCTGCTCCCTAGCACACGGCTGAGGGCGAATTGGGCCTTTAGGAAGGAAGGTGGGCAAATAGGTGTCGTCAGACGTGGGTGTTCAAGGTCCGGCTATGGACTATTTGTATGGTAAGCTCTTCCCATCAGGCTCTCGCTAGCTTTCCATCTCTCGGTGATTCCCCGGCTATTCCCGCACGTTGTGTCTGATTCCTTGGAGAACACCTACCCTTTGCCGACTGCTTGTTTAGTAGCGCGACGTACACAGGTCCTCTGCTGCGCTCATGAAATACGGACTACGCAGTAGGTATTACCGCCTGTGGGACTCACTGATAGGCCTGCGGTGCTCCAATGGATCCTGGGCCTTGCTAGGATTACCAAAAGGACCTCGCAGCTCATCCCGCATAGCCCTCTGTCAACCACCAGCCTTAGAAAGGGGGTTGATGGTTGGCTGCCCGTATGATCATTTCCCGCCCATTGGTCTTTTTGTACCTGAGAGGATTGGTTCCAATGCTACGGAAATACCTCTTGGCTCCCGGATTACCTCAGAACTATACCGTATAGACACACCAGGGAGCTTCGGCACGCCGGCCATTTGTATGCTTCCTTGAGCGCTTGGATAGCCTCGGGTTCGGCTGAGTAATGTAACGTGCATTGCTGAGGGCCATGGAAAATGGCTCTAGTTGCGGGGGCAGACAGACGGTGGCTTCTCTCCTGCCGAGTCTCGAAATTGGCATTGACAAGAAGGAGCCGTGTTCGGTATGCAACACTTCGCAGGAAGTGCGACCTTAATTGAGAGCACTGTTCCCGCGTGTTGACGATGTATTACAAAAGCTAGTCAACGGTGTTTAGGAGCCGTAGATGGTCATATATGAACCGTCTGAATAGGTTGTTGCACCCGCCGAAGTAACTCGCGCCTCCTTAATTATCCGTTTTTTTTTTTTTTTTTTTGCTAGCGTCTGTATTGGTGGTCTAGATGATCTTCCTGGGCCTGTAGTAGTCGTGTTAAAGCCTAGGAACGGCGGTATAAAGGTTTAGAGCCCACAAGGAAGCTGTTGGGAGTAGGCTGCTATACTGGTCGCGTTCATATGTCGGTATTGCTACTCGGCGACGAGCTTTGCCCACATGCTTCACAGGCATCTCAGTCCTGCCAAGAGTGTCCGGTTGATTACAATGCCATTCACTGGCGAGGTCTGTTCAATCGAGCAGCTTCACATCATAAACCAGGTGTATGTTTACAACAGGTATTAGGTTCTTTCGTAAGAGGATAGGTTTAAACTAACCCACGAAGTTCACTTGCACAATGCCTGCGTATCAGGTGAACTTTGTGAGTCCTTTACGAAGAGCAAGGTATCTGCTTTTTTACCCCTAGGTCACATTCATTTGAACCGGCCGGCCGGGGTCGCCCAAGTCTAGCTGGCGCCGCTTGCGATCTTGGTTCATTAATTCGAATCATTAACTATATATCTGTGTCGAAATTGTTCCTAGAAATGGCCCTGCCGGTGCCGTTGACCTTGTCACCAAGGCTATTGTGTTTGGTTGGCATGTCCCATCTTCCACCTACTACTGCCCCTGCATTGGGAGGACCGCCAATATTTGCTTCAGAACAATCAGGTAGAGACAGGCGAGAGAGAGCAGGGGTATTTAGGCACAGGCAAGTGCCATGTTAGTCGCAGGAAAAAAACAACTCCAAGGAGGTTCTGGCCATGACTGCGAATTCATGCTTATACAATTGGGATATGGCAAGATGCTCCGTATCTGCCACCATTCGATGCTGTATGCTCACGACACCAACTTCAGGCTCAAACGATACAGCTGGTGGGACGTCAAGAGGTCATTGACAGTGCTTGTGTTGAGTGCTAAAACATTCCAGCTCACCGGCCCAGCCCCGGTCCATGATATATATATACATACACAGGAAAACTCGGGCAGTGTGAACTCCATTACGTATCACTTACTGGCGGCGTCGTCCAAGACATGTGAACAAGCTCGCCGTCTGAGAAAAGCCAAAGTCGACACTCGCTACCGCTGGGAAGGGAGGGAAACGCCAGCAAGAGCACCAGTGTCCAGCGGTAGATACCATGATACCATCCTCCAGCGCCATCCCAAGGTCCAGGTGATCCCTATAATCAAATGACATGACACCCCATGTCGCCGGCTCCAAACGAAAACCCTTGCTTTTTATCCGCCCCTTCGATGCTACAGATGATATAAGAAAGAAAGACTCGGTGTCGAAGACGCACTCCAGATCAACCTGAGATGCCCGAACATAGGGCAAAGGAAGCGGGTATCAATATGTCCACGACGCTTTGCGCTTTTTCGATGAAATGACTGACCTCCTGGTCGCCGACTTATGCATGATTCCTTTTTGGTCCGCACACGTTCTAGTATTGGCCATGGCTTCAAAGGCCGCCGACATGACCTCCTTGTCCGGTTTCGACGACATTGTCGGAAAGATTGATGAGCAATTGTGCCAGACATCTCTTTGTTGCAGCGTCGTCACGCAAGACCGAAGAAAACGTCGCATCTCGGAGAGGCTCCGGGAGGCATTGGCGAAGAGCTTCGCGTGCTCGAGCGTTGTCACTCAGTCTATTGGTTGACCGTTGGTAAGCCCAAATCCACCCATGCTGACCGACAAACTCACCGAAGGAAACACCTGACGACATGCTTGAGCAAGCGAGCCGTCTGTTGCTCGACTAGTTGAGCAACCATATTGCTCAGAACAGTTCCTACCGCGTAGAATCGTTCATATGTGGCGCAGATGTAGTTGAGACCATTGTCATCCAGCAGGATTTTCTGAACGATGAAGATAGCCACTGTTTTGCTCAGCTCGGAGCCTGTCTCCATGATACGCAGGCACAAGGGGATAATCTCTGTGGTTAAGAGAAAATTGATGACCTCGGACGAATCGTTCTTCACGAGGGCGCCGATAACGCCAAGCGATGTCAGACGTAGGTACTCGAAGGGCCTCGATTTCGATGTCGTGTTCAGGAACGGATAGAGAAACAGAGGGATGTGAGCTGGATTAGGGTCAGCAGGCTGGAAAGGGGTAGTGTCGAAGGGAGTATCGCAGTGGTGATGCTCACCATTCAAGAAAAGCGTGCGTGTGTCGTTGTGGGAAGCAACGCACTGGAGAAGTGCCAGCGCGTTGCATACCCGATTAGAAGCTGCGGCTGTGAGCTGGGATGGGTTTAGTAGGGTGTAGACTGAGATGATCTCCTGCAACAAGGAAGTCATAACTCCTGCGTCGCGTGTCAGCTCGTATAGTATCCCAGCCTGGTAACAGGCACAAGCCATTATCACTTACCGAAAGAGTGCCAAAGAATGAGAGCCAACTCTGGGACTTGCTCTCGCTTCTTGCTTAGCTCCAAGAGAGCGGCCTCGCGAGTACTTTCGTTCAACAGATCAGCAATGTAAGACATCGTTCTCCGATTGTCCTCAGATATGTTATCGTGACTGCCGTCCTGTGTATGGGCATTGGCTAGGGAGCTGACGGCGGAGTGAGCACCGGCAAGTCTGCTGTAGTGCTGCTGTTGCTGCTGATGTTGCTGTTGCTGTTGCTGCTGTTGCTGGACAGCCGAAGCGGCAACGGCGGCAGCTTGCTGTGCATGATGGTGCTGATTCGACTGCTGGTGCATCCATGCGGCCGAGTCCGCTTGTGGATTGAACTGGTGGTGGCCGCCGTACACGTGAGCAGTCGGCATCATCTTTGACCCTAGACTGATACGTTCTGTGGAATAGGAAGAAAAATAGGCCGGAAAATGTTCAAGGCTGACGCCGACTCGAGTCTGCGTCCGACTGTGAGTGTGGTATTTTCACTGCTCTGCCGCGTTATTATCGACAATGTCGTTTTCGATGGCTGGTCGAGTCTTGAATGGCTGATGTGTCGACGTGCGACAATTGGTGTACTCGTGGGGCGAACTGGGGTGGGGTTGGGTGCGCGTGGGACTAGGCTGTTGGGATCGCAAAGGACGGTTGTCGCAAAGAATGTGATCCCTTTTCGACAACAGCGGCAGCGAGTGGACAACCGACAGCGAAGGTGGCGATGGGTGATGGGCAATGGTGTTTGCGCAGAGTGATCGGACTGGCGTTAGGCTCTTTGGTGGGCGTCAGGAAGTTGTCGTGGTTAACCAACGTTAATCAGTATTGCAGTGTGGACAGGAAACAAGGCTGGCTGCCATACCTTACCTTAGGTAATGCACGTCCATTTTGGGAAGGCGGTGGGTACTGGTTGCCTTAAGGTAAGGTAGGTACCTTGAGGTACGGCCATGGTGTTGGTCTCTGTACCGCCTCAGCTAACTCCGTATGGATAGTAAGAGTAAGGTATGCACTAATAGATCCGTACTTGCCTCGGACTTTCTTGCCCATGGTCAGAATCGTCGAGGATGGCCTTTGCAGGATGAAATTTTGGACTACTACTAATTTCGTGTACGACTATTTATTCTTGCCAACTGTCGCGTTTTGAGACTCCTCTCCCAGACATCGCTGCTAAATCCCACTAAGCGCCTATTCAAACAGCGTCTATCTTTCTGCTAGCTACCGCACCCAAATGTCAGAAAGACTGACAGCCGCTCAAAGTATGACTGCGGCCGGAAAGAGAAACGGAAGAAAATCCCGGGATCGGGGAAAATTGATGCGAGAGATTGGATCCAGACAACGTTATTGTCCCCTACTCAACGATGCCTCCAATGAAAGCTGGCAAAGGCCTTCCCGAGTATGTTGCCCACCCTTTGACTGCATGTAGCCACTCTGCCCCCTTTTAAAGACGAAGCTCTCGGAGCACCTGGTCTGCCATGTTCTTGTATTGCCAAGTGTTGCCAACCAAACGCTTAAACTGAATGCCATGCAGCGATAGCAACGGGACCTTCACAATGAATATCTCAAACTCCAAAACCATGTTTCCGCCGAGGTCGCTCTGGACATGGGTGCTTGTCTCGCCTGGTACTCTTCTGGACGAGCCTCCTGCTTCGCGAGAGACGCTGTCGATCGAGACGTCTGAGTTTGAGTAGCTGTCTGCCCCGTTCCTGCCTGTGCCTCGGGGCGTTGATGGTCCCCGATCTGTGCTGGGGAGGTCGTCTCGTTCTCGGTCACCACCTCTCACCCCGCCTAGGCTGAATCGCCGTCTGTGGCCAGGTGGTGCTTGGCCAGGGCTACCGGGAGGATCCTGAACCCTCTTGAGATCTATGCTTGGTGTGTGCTTGCATGTGAAGCCACCCTTGATCTCTATGTAGTCTACTCCCAGACCTTTCAAAACGCGCTTGATGTCGGCCCTAATCTCGGTGACATTCTTTGTCGACGTTGTTGACACACTGAACAATCCCTTCAGAAAAACTGGTTTGGCTAGATCGGACCTGTCCAACCTGTCTGTCGATACACCACTTTGATCTCCCTGCTCTTGGTCGGTTTCTTCCGGGACATTGGCCTCCCGTGCCTCTTCCCGCCGGAGTCTTCGTTGCTGAATGCTCTCACGCCTCGCATGTCCGAGGGACTTGGCTCTCATCGACGCTGCGCGAGACTGTTGACCATCTCGTGATGCTGGCGGAGGCCTGTCAGCAGTTGTCGTCGATTGATCTGACCCACTGGTCGGCGGTGGATCTTTTTCAGTCCTAGTCGATCCGCGGCGACGCAGGTCTGCCGAATTTACGCTCGTGGATCGACCCAGACCTTTCCGGCGTGACGACGGGCCCCCTGCGGAAAGAGGCGGGCTGAGGAGATCGCTGTGCTGCGGCTGACTGCTGCCAGACCGCAACGGCAGGGGCATAGGTTCCTCGCGCTCCCGTCTGCCGCGTCGAATGCTGAAACTCTTTCTCGGCACAGAGGACGGGGTTGTCTCGGCTGAAGCACCACCAGATGGGGAATGAACTTGGACCACTGGAGGGTGAGAGCGGTCCTTATCCAGCCGCTCCGGGTCTTTGCGTCTTCGTGTGCTAAAACGTCGCAGTATACCGGCAGCGGTGCTTTCCTTCTTTGGCAAGGGCTCAGGAGGCACTTCTGGGGACAGCGGGGCGTTTGGTGAGAGCTGGGAAGCCTTCACGGAGTCAGGTGCTTCGTCTTCTCCATGAGTCCTGGCACGGGGACGGGACCGACCACCGGTGGCCCTCTCACCAGGCATTTCATAAGCCGCTGTGTTGGTGTGTGCTTCTTGTGGTGGTGTAATCTCTGGGATGGGTGGCTTCTCCTTGGGCGTGCTCTGCACTCCAGGATTCCGTTCAGCGCTATCACGGTCTTGCTTCTCCCGCACCAAATAGTATATCGAAACAAGCGGACTGAACGCATTTAGCGGATCGTTGCCAAGTTGAAGAGCCTCGGAGCTTGGGGCCGTTAGTGTGTCGCGGCTATTGCCCGAGTTTCTTCTCTTGTAAAAGTCAAAGCCAAAACCCCGCTTCTTCTCGACGTCCTTGGCTGGCTGGGGAAGTTCCTTTTCCCGCTGGTACAGACGTACGGCACGTTGATACTCCTCGGATTCGATTGTTCGAACCAACTGTGCCTTGATAGAATCCGGAGGACCGAAATTAAATCCAGTCATGGCGTTGACTACGTCCGAGTCTAGAGGAAGAGTCAAGGGTTCACGGGGTGGCAGGTGATTGTCGGGCGGGCCGTTGTATCCCTTGGTCATCCATGGATGGCTCATAACCTCCAACATGGTGGCACGTTGTTTTGGATCGGTCACGAGCATGCGAGATAGCAGATGCTTGCATTCTGCAGCACGTTAGGACTCTAAGATGTAAAAAGGAGAAAGAGAGAGGACAAGAAAACGTACCACTCGAAAGCCAATTCGGATAGTCAACTAGCCCCTTCTTGATCTTGGCGTGGAGGGCGGGCATGCTTTGATCGTCGAATGGTACCTTACCGCACACCAAAACGTAAAGAACAATGCCGAAGCTCCATATGTCAACCTCGGGGCCCGTGTAAGCTCTTGCCTGAAGCAACTCCGGAGCTGCAAAGTAAAGACTTCCGCAGAAGGTTTTGAGATGAGTACGAGGCGCGAAGAGGTTGCTAAGACCGAAATCTATAATTTTGATGTCGCCGGTCTTGCTGATGAGAATGTTTTCGATTTTGAGATCGCGATGGACAATGCTGTTGCGATGGCAATAGTCCAGGGCGCTCGCGATTTGACGGCTGAACTTGCGCGCTTGCTTCTCCTTCAATTTGCCATGAGAGATGATGTAGTCAAGCATTTGGCCGCCATTGACGTATTCGCAAAGCATGTACCAATGATAGTTGGTTCGGACGACGTCTCTCATGCCACAAATGTGAGGATGACTGAGAAGCGTGACGATAGCCGCCTCACGGGCAGTCCTGATTTCCTTTGATTGATCTGCTCTCTCCTTATCTGCTCGAGAGTGGTGCCCATCTTCTGTTGAGCCACGTGGAATGATTTTGCAAGCAACCTAATGATAAGATGGAGGAGAGATTAGCAACTGTGTATTGTGACTCAGCTGACTGGTTGCAGGCGATGGGAAGTGAGCAGTATTTGAGAAAGGGGTTAGCATCTGAGGGGGCTAGACTAACCTGCTCGCCAGTGTCCTCCTTACGGGCCAACTTCACTTTGCCCATGCTCCCAGCACCGACTGTCTTACCCAGGATCCATTTCCCGGATGGCGTGGGGATTGTTGTGCGCGACCTGCTATGCTTGGAAGCGGAGGCGGAAGCGGAGGAGGCGCCCGTAGGGCTCCGAGGGTCGGTTGCGCCATGGGCAACAGGAGCAGGACCAGCGTTATTGGCAACGGCGGTGTTTGCAGGCATGTCGTTGGAGGTTCGACTCGGATGATGATTAGATCTGGTGCTGCCGTGACGCTGAGTGCGCGAGGCGTCGGCGCGGGAGGGAGAGGGCGTCGGATGGTCTTTGGAGGCGGGTCGCTTGGGGTAGGAGGCTATGCTTGCATGCTCATAATCATGTTTAGGAGAATTGTCCTGAGAGGTGCGGGGGGCGGCAGCGACAGAGGAAGACTGTCGCGAATGTGAACGGTGTTGTTGGTGGTGTTTTTGTTGGCTGTGGCTGCGATGGTGATGGTGGTGGGAGTAGGAGTGGTTGGAGGTGGAGGAGGTGCGCTGAGGATGAGGTCCAGAGGCGGAGACTGAAGGCCGTGTCCTGGTCGATGGTGCGCGGGCAGGGACTGTTTGAGCATGTGCAGAGGGATCAGAGCTCGCCGGGATTGCTGTTGTCATTGCAGGAGGGGGGATGCGACACCACACAGAGCGAGGGTTCGCTGGATCTGGTGCAGGCGGGCAGGTAAGACGAGCGAGAAGGGACGGAACACGGGACAAGCAGACAACGAACGACGGGGAGCAGAGGGCGAGCGTGAAAGTGAAAGTGGGAATTCGTCGGGGATGAGAGACCAAAAGAGAGGGCGGTCAAGGTAAGGCAGTAGGTAGGTAATTAGGTGCTGGAGACGAATGAGAAGCACCATGTTTTCCGTCGTCTTTTTCTCTTCACCCCCTGCTTTTGCCTTACCGTAACTTGGGGTAAGGTTAGTACCTACCTTCACCACTTCACCCATCTTTATGGGGGAAGGTACGGACAGGACACCTCACCTTCCATCCCGAACCGCTGTGTGTCCGCACCCTTCCCAGTTCGATTACGCGTGTGCTCTCAATGATCTATCTATTGCTTTGGCACAGGAGCCGACAGCGAAGCAAAGCTGCAAGCACCAAACCGTGCTGTGCAGCATCGGAGGAGGAGCAGCAGCAGCAGAAGCAGGATGAG